CAAAAACGGCGCCTAAACATTTCTGGTGGGTGTGTAGAATTTTCACTGAAATAATCGTTCCAGAGCTGAGTGTGTCCTTGTTCCCGATCCCTTTTGATATAAGCCCGCCTCGTTGGCTTGATGGCTAGGGCATGAAGAATGGAGTCGATAAAATTATCAATTTGTTCGTCGAACATTTCTTCAAAAGCTTCATCTACTTCATCACTTGACGAGGAAAACATAGTTGAACTCTTCTTCCTTCCTACAACAACCACAAATTTTAGTAAGCAGAAATTAAATTGTGAGTTAAGTTATATTAAACTAAATTGTGAGTAAAGTTATATTAAACTATATTGATTAAATTGTGAGTAAAGTTATATTAAACTATATTGTTAAACTATATTGTTAAAGTATACTAGGGAGGAACTGCTGAAACTAGAGCTTCCATATGAGATAGTTCTCTTCTTTGAGCTTCAAGTTAACGACTTGCAAGATAGTGAGGACAGAGACTGATAAAGTGTATCTTGATTCCCTTCTGTAGCTCTAATACCATGAAGGTAATCAGAGAATTTGAGAAATTAAACTTAGAAACTTTTATACTCAGACTGAATTTTATGCATTCACAACTTGATATTACAACTATATTTTCACTTTTATTTATACAATCAATGATAACAATCTAGAGACTTATCAGTCATCCTGATCCAGAAGAGCATAAAATCGGTTACTTCCTGGTGAGCTGGAGAAACCGTACCTTTGTGTTCTTGCTTTCTTTTGTTTTGTTTTACTGATGCTGTTACAGTTGTTGCAGGTTTTTGGAATTTCGAAATATATTTCAATTATCAAAATATCTAATATAGATAAACATGTTGATTCACATTTTAAAAAGTTTAGTTTTTCAAAAAACTAAAATAGATGGTGTAATTTTCAAATTTTTAAAAATTAGTAAAGTATTTTTAAAGTTATCCCATAAAACTATCAGAATCATCCAAAAGTATTTGAGATAATCAGTATAGGTGAATTCAATAGTATATTTTGAAGTAACTAAATTACTATAAGTATTAATACAGTTAACGTCTTAAGTATATATTTTTATTTTAAATATCAGTAGTTTTCCTTTTCGGATCAGATTCTGATCTAGTTCTTCGATGATAAGAAATCAGGTAAATTTAGATATTATGTTAGTTTTTAGGCTATGCTCGTTTATTTATTCATATGCTGTTCGTTTAGATACTATTGAATCAATATTTAGATGTTTTATCCAGATGCAAATACTAATTATAAAAACGAAAAATGTCTGGATGCAACATCCAAAATATTGTATTTAAATTCTGCATCACATACAAAAACAAACATGTCCTTAGTTTTAGTTAGTTTAGTGTTGTACCTTCGAATTCGGGTGGTTCAAAGTTTGGATCCAGATGTAATAATTGTGTTTTGGTCTTTTTCTCAACCCTACATTATGTTGCTAGCACTATATTTTCTTTACCAGTGTTCAAATTATTTTTAGTTCTTAGGATTTGTACCGTAACACACGAAGCTGTAACTGGTAACCATTAAAGCAATATGAGGAATAAGAAGAAAATAAATGATAAAAGAAAATATTAAAACAAAAATCCCTTCCTCTCCTAATTTGATAAGGAATAATTTTAATCTTTTATTCTTTAAATCTTAAAGAATGTTAAAAAAATTATTGGTAACAAATATTCCTTGTAAATGGTGTAAATTATAAGGAATGACAAGGAATTGCCCATTTCGTCTCATTCTTTTCGTCACCATTTAGAGTTAACCAATTTTAATATCCTTGAGCTAAATGTAGAATATGAACCTTTTATATTTTATTAATAAAATCATATGAATTTTTTAAAAATTAAATATATGAATTAAAAAAAAATATGACATATCTTAAAACACAATTTAAATTTACTAGAAATATTTACATTTGATTAGCAAGTTGTAAAAGTTAAACATTTTCTTCCAACTTTCTTTATTGCATATTTCAAGTTGAAAAAAAAGAGTTATGATTTTAGGACAATGCAGATCCAATTATTGAAATAGCCCACTTATGAGTTATGATTTTAGGACAATGCAGATCCAATTAGGTAATCGAAAAAAATAGAGTTCAAGTTACTTGGATGGAAAGAAAATATCCAGTTAACGTTTTCAAAAAAATAAATATCCAATTAAGATTGTGCCTAGTCCACATATTGAAACCTATTAAAGATACCTAGTGTAACACTTGGTGGCCAAGGCTATAGACATGCTAGGTAACAAGAATTATTCTTGGGTTCACCCCCTAGGGTGAACCTCTAGGTTCACCAACCAATAGGGTGGTGTTATTTCATATTTGATATATTTTAGAAAAGGAAACAAAATCTTATCAAGTTATGTTATGTTTTTAAACAAAAAATAGAAAAATAAATAAAAGTATTAATATTTACGAAAAACGAAAAAATATCTTGAAAAAAATATTTTAACATTATATTATGTTTTAAAATAAACGATAAAATAAAATAAAAACAGTAATAATTACAAAAAAAAATTAAAACAAAAAAATATATTAATATAACTTTAAACTAAAAACATGTGTTTAAAATAAAAAGATAAAAATAAATAAAAAATAGTATAATTGGTTAGTATTAATTTATCCTAGAGTTAAGATTTTTCCAAAGGGTTTATGATTTACCCAAGGGTTTAGGGTTTAGGATTAGGGTTTAGGGTTTAGTATTAGGGTTTAGGGTTTAGGATTAGAGTTTAGGTTTTAGTGTTAAATATTTTTTTAAAGTTTTTTTCGTTTTTTAATATTGTTATTTATTATTTATTTTTGTATTTTATTTTAAAAACATAATATAACTTAACAAGATTTTATTTCATTTTCTAAAAGATATCAAATATAAAATAACACCATCCTATTAGTTGGTTAACCTCTAGATTCACCCTAGGGGGTGAACCTAAGAATAAATACATGTTAATTAATGTGTAGAACCGATATAAAACCGGACTACTTATTATAAGATTATAGAATCAAAAGAATTGGTTCTTGCCACTTAACAATACACTAGATTTTGGAAATCGTAATATACCGTTTTTTTTTAATTTTTACTAAATAATTTACTAATGATATTTTTTAGTAATTGAATGTAAAGAAAAACCAAAAATCAAATCTAAAAACTAAAAAAACCAAAACCAATAGCTGAAAATGCGGGGTATATAATTTTTTCTTTATTTTAAAAATAAACTATTACAATTTTTTTATAAAAAATTTCGTCTTTTCAATTTTAAATTAAATATTCGATTATTTGAGATTTTTCGTTGCTAATATCAGTTCAAACTAATTCAGCAGATTTAAAAACTAAAAACCATAACCAAAAGCTGAAAAACAAAAATGGAAACTTAAAAACTAAAAACCAAAAACCAAAATCTAAAACCAAATATAAAAATAAAATTAAGAAACTAAAAATTAATGCAAAACAATCATCACCACAAATTTCGGGTTACTGATTTTATACCAAAACATAATTTAAATAAAGACAAAAATCAATTATATAAATTTCTAATCATAAAAAATTTCTGCGCTTGAAAAGCGCAGATCAAAATCTATTTGCATTTAAAAATTTGAAAGATTGATATCATTTGGTTAGTTTCATACCTAGAAAAATTAGGAATTTTTCAAATGTCCTTGATTCGAGGTATCTATAAATTGGTTGAATATAACATTTCAAATACTGTATTTTAGTTATATTTTTTCAAAGATTATTAATATAATAATTGTGGTTATACAAACAATGGTTTTAGTATATAGTTTGACATGTATTTTTTCACAGAAAGCTGGATGCATATTCAAGATTTAAAATCTACACAAACCGACATGACATTTTATTTAGTGATATACATAAAAACATTTAACATGATAAAGAGTTCTGTTTTTATTTTAGTATTTAATATGGAGAATAAGCAAATGAATTTTGCAAAGTTGAGGAGTTTTTTTTTTGTCCGAGTAAATATGCTCAATTTGAGTTGTTATGATAATTTTATGGTATAAGTTTGATATACATGGGAGCACAATATACGACGGGAATGATGATTGGATATTTGGTGTGTTTCCTATTTTTAAAGAGTTATGATTGGTTAAGGAAAGAGATAATGAATGGTTAAATAAGTCAATTAAATTTAGGTGGTTTGGTAATGTTATTAATCATGGTTTAGGCTAGATAAAAAGTTTTTTTTTTCCTACAGACCTTAAAAAGGAATTATATTTTAATTGTCCTTGATTGTAGGTAAAAAATCGGATTCACATCGTTTCAGTATGTACTTTGGCAAACCGGATTTATATTCTTATGATAGGTCATACTTTTAATCTATATAAACCGAAAGGACATATATGATTTTCTGATTTAAAAATTTTACATGATAAAGAATTCCTTGTGTTTACAATGGTAAGTAAACTGCAGGAAAACTTTAGTGTAGAAAAATAAGGTGTTCTAGTTTTGAATTGAATTTTAGTTGACTGAATATTTGATAATTTTATTGTTTAGGTCGAACATATATATGTAATAGAATAATGGAGCAGTTAACGGCATGAAACAAAGATTGTATATGTGAAAACTTTCCAAATTTTGCAAAAAGTTACTATTGGTTAAGGGTATTAATGATGATAGATTATATAAGCAAATTGAATTAAGGTGGTTTGAATTTAGATAACTTATTTTCGTTTTAATAAAGGCCAAATTTCCACACACAAAAAAAAAAAAAAAAAAAAACTTATTTATTTAGAGTCTTACGTCTTCTCTCCATTTTAGCTTGGTTTGGATTGGACAATAGAAAATAAAAATAAAAATAAAAAAGGAAGTGAAAGATATTTTGGCAGAAAGAAAATATATATTGTGTCTGGTCCCTTTATTGAAAACGAATACTTGGTGGCCAAGGCTATTCCTCTCGTATTAATGGAGAAGATGAACCTAACGTCAACTCTTCAACTAAATTCTTATTTTGTTTAGATCTCTTTTCGCACAATAACATCCATGTCTCTGCTCCTGAGACGGCTCTGGAGTCTCGGCCATGGGAAACCTCCTGTGTCCTTGAGATCCTCTCTTTTTCTTCTTCACTCCAAAGCAATCTCAACTTCGTTGCTGCAAACCCCTCCTTGTAATATCATCGTGGCTGAGTCTTGTGGTGGGGGTCTCGGGAAACTTGTGGTTATGTATTTCAATGAACTTGAGTGCACTGATTTGGAGAAGAAGGTGCCTCTGGAGTTAGTTAATGACGAAGACGCAAAAAAGATAACAATAGGGGCATCCCATGGCTGGATAGCTACTCTGAAGGAAGATGGAGTCCTGCGTCTCCAAGACGATCTCAACCCTGTGGCATCGGATACTAATCCGAAACGCATCCCTCTGCCTCCTCTTGTGACTCTGCCTCATTGCCAAACCCAAATCATCACCAACGTGTCAATGTCATCATCTTCTCCAGAGGATGATGAGGACTGTGTCGTGGCCGTCAAGTTCTTGGGACCTCAGCTCAGCTTTTGCAAACCAGCCGGTAAACCGGAGTGGACCAACATCAAGATCGAAAACCCCTCCTTCTTCTCCTCCCGTGTCATGTTTTCCAAGAAAGACAACATGTTTCGCATTCTCGGAGATGGAGGCAGCCTCATCGGGTCATGGGATCCCAGCAATCCCAGCGGCGACCCAAAGTTTCAGAGCGTGAGATTTAAAAACATGCCCAAGCTGAGCAAGGCTAAACAGAATCTGATGGATATGTGCTGCAGGAGCGAGCATTTGGTGGAGTCACGACCCACCGGTGAAACTTTCTTAGTCAAGCAGTACAAGAAGACTATCAAGATCACAAAGGCTGGTATTACCCGATTGAGAACCAAAGCTTTGATGGTGTTTAAGCTAGGAGAAGAAGGAAACGCTGTTTACACTCAAGACATTGGAGATCTCAACATCTTCCTCTCACTGTCTGAACCTTTCTGTGTCCCTGCTACTTCCTTTCCTGGCTTGTACCGTAACATTGTCCATTTTGATGATTTCGACGAATCAGGTCATGTCATTATGTATGAATCCAATATGGGGAAATCATCCCATATCTATAGCAGATCTTCAAATAACATGTCCCCTTACCACATTCCACCACAAAATATTGTCGACTCTTAGTTTTGGATTATGAGTCTGTGTTTTTCTTTCTCGGTTAAACCATATGTACTCTTTCTGAATGATTGATATGGATATGGTATTGGAGAAACTTGTGATATTATCTACCTTCCAGCTGTTTACTTTTATAAACACTAGGAAACCACCCCGCGCGTAAGCACGCCGAAGAGAAGATGTTTAATTTTTATATATTAAAGTTTAATACAATTTAAATTACTTAATCAATCATTTTGAATCATTTAATAAACTCATTAAGTTTGATTTAGATAAAACTTGAAACAATAATTTATATACAAAATTACAGAGTATAATTTGTGTTTGAAAATGTGTAAATTTTAGTTTTATGTACATTGCTTAGAATATTAAGTAACATAATCATTTTAATTATTTTTTTTCTTTTTCTTTGTGGCCGTTTGACTTCTTCCGTTGGTTGTGTTGTTGTATTTACATTGTTAGTTTCACTTTGTTATACATCTTTCGATAACTTTGATATTCTTCTTTTCTTTGTTTTATTTCATTTATTAACATTGGTTTCTTTAATCTCATCCGAATTGACAAAAGATTTATTTATTATAGTAGACTGTTAAAAATAAATGTAAGTTTTTCATTTCCGTAAAATTTATCGGATTTGTATAGCCAAAAAAAATATATATTGTAATTATATTGTATCTCTTCATTAATAATTGGGTTGTCTATGATTCCTATAACTGTTAATCCAGCTCAAATTGATTGATAATTGAAGGAAGTTATCTTAATTTTGAATTTAAAGACTGTCCCGACAAGCTTTTCTGAAATGTAGGAGATGATAGCATTATCACTTGAATCTTTATATAACTGGTCCTCCATATCGTAATTTCAAATATTAATTTTGGATTATACAACTCTTCATTGAATAGACATGCATTTTCAAATATTTTTATTATGAAAGGGTATAAGTAGTTAACTTTTGGTAAATATACATATTTTCTGCATTCCTAAACAAATAATTTACGGTAAAAATAAGTGGGCAGTAATATCGATTTCATATATGATATGGATTGTGGATTCAAGATATTGGACACCCAGAAATTTATTAATTGAGACTTAAATTGAACTTAAACATATTTGTTGGTTAATTTAATGGCTACGCTTTCACTAAAGATCATGGGTATGATATCATAGAATTCTTTAAGCAAAAGACATGTTTATTGACTGAATAGTTGTGTTGTTTCAGAAACTTGGATCTTCTCATAGTAAAAAGTTGTATATTTTCACTACCTTAACCGTTGAAACCTTTCACAATAGAAATACTTGAAATTTTATATATTCATTCTTCCACTCACCATAGTTTTATCATAGTTTTCCTTTTGTTTGTATATGTCTTTACTAATTGATTAATAATTAACTATTCCATACGAATATATCATATAAAACTTGAGTATGGGGAGAAATTTACATTTTCATTCCATGAAGATTTTTATATTTTTTGGAAGTCTAATAATGAATCGCTTTGATTTTTGATGAGTTGTATTTTGAGAAATTAGGTTCTATACATACAAGAAACACCATAATTAGCTGAATGCCTTTTCGCTATTTATATTTTATAAATTCCAAATTTATC